AAAAGAACAACTCCAACAAATCACATAATGGAAAGCCATTGTGGAAAAAATGCGGTCGATATTCCAGTAAGATAGGACTTTTTGGCGCAATGGCTTGGAACCGCTGTTGCGCAGAGAGTCGGTTCACCCCCTCCGCGCCGCTGTTTCCCTTACAGGGTTCAGTTGTCTCACGGAAAGAATCCTCATCTCCTGCTCCCATGCCGTGGTTTTGAAAGTATCGTACAGCATTACCCTGGGGGAAAGGAGGTGGGTAGGGAGGAGGGAGGGGAGGTGGAGGGCATACCACTACGTCAAAAAAGTAGGCGAGGAGAGGAGCAGCTCCTCTCCTCGCCTACTTTTTTCTTTACAGGGGGAGGGGGCACCAATAATGTCACGCCCCTAACGCTACCAACCCAAAACCTCCGAATGGTGCTTTTTTTATCCGGGATTTAGTCGAAATGCTCACCATATTCAACGAAAATCACCGAAATGCGACCTCGGGTAAAAACAAACAAGAAGGAGGCGTGCGGAAAATTCAAGAATTCAACTCCTTACCTGTTTCCTATTACTTCCATCACTGAGCCAGACAGAAAACGACAGCTCGACATGATTGGCACACTCTAAAAATTAATAATCAAATATCAAAAAATCGACGGACTTCAAAATCGGGTATAACCGAGAAATTAACATTTCCTGATTGAAAAGTCAAAAAAGGGAATGGAGACCAATCCGTCACACTTTTTGGAACTCCAGCAATTGTAATTTGATTCAATTCAAACCCAGTTTTCAATAATATATATTTTCAATTCAGTGAAGGACAGCGGTTCTCGCTTTTGGTCAGTTCCCGCTCGGGATGCGGCATGCATTCTAAATCCATTCTGAACTGCTAAGCTCACTGAGCGCGATATGACTCATCCAACGATTCGCGGGGGCCTGCCAACTGAATCAAATTTTCTGGCCCGGAGAGAGGAAGACTTTGTTGGTCCGGCCGCGAACCGATCCAGGACCTCCTTGTTTATCTGCCACTCCTGATCATACTTTACGATTCGGCGGTATGAGAACTGTTTCAGGGAATTGGTGATTCGAGCTAAAAGAATGTTATGGGTATTGATCGGTGTCCAAAACTCCGATTCGCTCAAAACGCTGACTCGATCGAAGAGCTGGTTCTCTCAAAACGCCGAGTTGCAAAGTGTGAACGCATATACCACTGTCGTCACTGCAATAACTTACTGCTAACTAACAGCAACATAATTAGTGCGAGCCCGGCTGCTTCTATATCTAGTTCTATTGTACCCACAGAAATCTTGCTTTCAGATCGCTTGTGAAGGAGCGATTTTAAAGAAGGTCAATCGCTCAAGGGACCGGAAAAGCGAGGTAAAATCACCTTATACAATGATTATGTATGACGCTCGCAACCTGGACGCAGCGCAAAGAAGGATCCTGACCCGTTCTGAGACAGCGCCTGACTTATTTGCCATCGACAGGCAAACAACTGAGTAGAAAAGCGGAAACGGTTCCGAAAATATTTGCTAACACGCGTCGAGAGCGAGCGTTATTTTTGCCTAGTCATGTAGAGATTGGAGATTTTTCTGATGCTATTGTTCCGCTGCATCCCGTTATCTCAGAGTGCAGCTGAACGACTTTAAGAATTGAAATCGCTGACGAACTTGGATGGAACCGCACAATTCTTGAGCAGTGAAGCGTGAACATCCGACCAAGAACGTCCGGAGACAGCATCGAGCATTGCCCTCGCGACACTGCAATTCTGGAGGCAACAAATTATTTCCGCTTCTTGTGTCCCTCTTTTGCACTATTTTCCGCCAAAAGGGCTGAGGTGATTCGGGGGCAAGTAACGGTACCGCAGCATGATTCCGTTCCCGCACCGATTCCTGCCGCACCAGCTGAGCCACTAATCTTTACGGGATCGGCTATTAATTGATACTAGGGTTGTCCGGGAGGATAAAATACACCAGAAGGCCTCTGTGGAGCTTTGCATAAACCCAATCACATCGAAACGTTGCAACGCTTTCAAACCAGCTTCTCACTTCCCTTGCTAGGAATTATCCGAAAGTTGGGAAGTCCGACCACAAAAAAAATGAAAAATGAATAGACAGGAAAAATATGGTAGATATGGTAGTGAAGAGAAATGCACTTACCACCTGGAACATGCTTGCAGAGCTTATTAATGATGATTCCCGTGTGGGGTCCGCCCGCAACATGCAATAATTTATCGCCATCTAGCCCTTGTTCTCTGAAAATACAAATTGTCCGTCCGAAAGTGCTCTACTCCAGAGTAAGAATATGGGTAGGAATTGAATAAGTCAGTGCCATAATCGACTGAAATAAAGTTTACAAAGCCTTCCGATCTTTGAATGACAAGCATTCAGATCTCAAAAAGTCACCAAGAAAATATAATCTATTTTCTAGGGTCCAAAATATTCTGAGGTCCCTACACACACTTGCGCCTTAGGCAGCGTTCAGACTTCGCGACGGCAGCGCTTCGGTCGCGCGTTCAACGCGATCGATGCAGTCGAAAGCATGCGCATCGATCGCGTCGAACGCGCGACCGAAGCGCTGCTTTCGCGAAGTCTATACGCTGCCTTACAAATAAGAAGCAGGGTAAATAAAGCTGGTTCTTTATCGCTGCGAACAGCCTTCTAAATGACTCCGTAGCCAACTTGAAGTAACGAGAGCAATCCGGCATACCTCTACACCTCTTTCGCCCTCTTTGTTGAGAATATCAGCAAATAGGAAAAGGTGGAGGTGGCGAATAGTGGCCGCTTTCCATGCGCGCAGTCCTGAGGTCAAATCCAGAATCGCCTTCCGCCCCCTTCCAGCTTCTCCTCTCCGGGGACGGTAAATAGGCATCAGATTCGTCTGGGAGGATGAGAAACCGACTAATACATCCCTCAAATCATTGTGTAGGCCATATCGCGTTCAAAAAGCCACGACGATTCTGAAGAGAAATAGAGTGCGTGGCGCATGAGAAAAACAGGTTGATTAACGGCTAAAGCTGGCTAGAGCTTGTCCTTTATCCGTTATCCCCAAATATTAGCACATAAATGGTAACCCTTCAATGACGAAGTATTGCAGATTTGACAGGACAATTCACCAATCCATTTTTAATTCAAAATTTTAATCCCGAAACATCCAAAATGTACTACCTGATAAGTTTACTAAGAAATCTAACTGGAAATGAAGCCCAAGACTATGTCATGAAGTTTCCGTTTTTTTTTTGGCAGTTCCCGAAAATAACTGGTAGTCGACGAGGCGTGAATGAGATTGGAGTCGCCATAAAAACAAACAACATTACACCGCAAGCAGCATTTGTGATGTCAGCGAGCACTTATCAACTTCCAAATAATGGGAAACACTAGAAGAGTAGAAAATCTAAAAAGAAACAGAAATAAACCTTGCCAGACAGACCGGAATAAAGCAATCAACGCAGAAAAAAAAACAGGAAACAAAAAAAATAAACCAAAAAGGCCACGTATCTCGGTAGCAGTTCGGGAAACTTCCTAGCTGTGGGAATAGTTTCCTGAACTACCACTCCTCTCACACACTACCGACGCTTTTATCAACATTCCCCAAAGCTTTGCCGTGGAGTGAGGAGGGGTGCTCAGGGAGGGGGTGATGTAGACACATTCGATTACTTAGCTAGTACTCCAACGAAAAATCGTGTAGCAAGCGGCGAAATCATTAATGAGAGGACTTTTCTCAGGCTAAGTGCGCCCCTCACCTCTAGCGACCAAATGTGACGCCCTCCCCTGCGATAG